CTATTTAACTCACAGAGTTACCGTAAGGCTTGAATGAGAGAAGTTAAAAAAATGATTTTTAGAATTAATCTTTCCATTCTTCATACTGCCTTTTACTAACTTTGATATTACTCTCATTCCATGTTACTGTGTTTTGTAACATACCCATTGATCATATTTATTTCTTGAGGACAGGGTCATGATTTATATCTGTGTCTTCTGTGCTTGAACTATTATAAAGCCCAGTTTGTTGAATTTAGTTTTCAATAATAAAAAAAGTACATTGAAATTCCATTTGCTTTTAACCACCAGAACGGCTGTATTTAGTTATGCAGGTTGAGACCTGCAGTGCCCTCACAGGCCCCATTCATAATTATGTCCTGAAAAATGTGTATTTATTATGATACTCTTCCAATAGATGGTAATAAAGTGTATTTCCTAATCAATATATTATGACAATTTTTCAGTAGATTGAAGTATAGTGACTTGAATAGGAGGATCTTTTCTCATTTGCAGAAAAATGTGGCCCTATTGAGACTATGGTCCTTGGGCTTAGACTAGCCTAGATTTTTATCCTGGCTCTGCCATTTATAGGTGTATGATCTTAGATAATCTCTTCAACACTTAGTTTTATCTATAACATAGGATTGGTACTATTCATGTCAGTATACTATGTCATCTAGAATCTTTATGAGGTAATATACATGACACATTTACTATAGTGTCTGGCACCTACTAAATTGTCTTAGTCTATTTGGGCTGCTTGTAACAAAATATCATAGGCTGAGTGGTTTATAAACAACACATTTGTTACAGTTCTGGAGGCTGGGAAGTTCAGGGTGAAGGCAATGGCACATTCAGTGTCTGGTGAAGGTCTGCTTCTGAGTTCTTAGGCAGCCACACATAGTGGAAGAAACAGAAGAAGGGATCTCTCTGGGTCCTCTTTATTAAGGGTATTAATTCCATTCATGAGGGCTCCATTCTCATCACCTAATCACCTCCCAAAGTCCTTACCTTCAAACACTATCACAGTAGGGGTTAGGTTTCAACATATAAATTATTTGGGGGGATACAAACATTCAGTCTAGCTAAATAATTCTGCCTGTTTTCATTGGAGCTTGTTGTGCTTTAGCAGTATGTGATTACAGAATTATGTGTGAGGTGCTTTAAATTTAGCAGTATGTGATTACAGAATTATGTGTGAGGTGCTTTAAATTTAAATTTTCATTGGAGCTTGTTGTGCTTTAGCAGTATGTGATTACAGAATTATGTGTGAGGAGACTTAATTGAAAGATTGGCTTAGCACCTTTTTAAGTGATTGCTCTTGAGTTAAAGTGTGTTGTATTTTATTCAGACTTCCTGTTTTGAAAAGTAGGAGGGTCAGTATTGAACCAGAGATTCCGTTAGAGGACTTTGAGGGAATGAAGGACAGAGACTTGATTTTAGAGCATTTTCAGGGATCTTGATGATATCCTACCTTTGTATAAGACTAACTCTATCACAGTCTGAGTGTATAGGTTATTGTGCCTCAACTTGCTAACAGTGGGGAAGCAGGAAATCCATCAATTGCTTTTGAGTGGGGAGTGATTAATAAAATAAAACTGGACCCAGACTGTGATACATTAGCAGTTGTCATTATTTTTGTCTTTTAAATCCTTGGATTAGGGGTGCCTTGGTGGCTTAGTCCATTAAGCATCTGCCTTCGGCTCAGTTCATAATCCCAGGGTCCTGGGATCGAGCCCCACATCAGGTTCCCTGCTCAGCAGGAGAGTCTGCTTCTCCCTCTCCCTATGCCCCTACCCCCACTCTCTCTCTTTCTGTCTCTCTAATAAATAAAATCTTAAAAAATGCTTGGATAAAGAGTCATATCAAGTGTGTAGGGGGTAGGGGAGGGAGGGGATGGTGTTGTAGGCAGCTTGGCATGGGAAATTGGTTTCTAGCATAGGAATTTTCCATTTCAGACAAATGGTATTCTGACCTGGTATACAGAGTGAGTGGAAAATAATTCTGCATTTCTTTTTAAATGTCAAAAATAAAACGTATCACCATATTCCCAACATTGTTATATTAGGGAGTTCCAGATTGTTCAGACGAATGAAAACAAGAGGACCAGATTGCCAGATGTTAGGGTTCTAGCTTCAAAGTCTTCTAGAATACCTATGGTAAATAAGTCTGGGTTGTTTGATTAGTTTTGGTGTTTTAAGATACCAAAAGCAGGCAGTTATTTTAGTGTGACTCTAAGCATAATTGGCATATATCAGGCATTTACAATTTAGGCCATAGTAATTTTTAGTTTGAAAGTATATGAAGGCTATACAAAATATGGCAACCAGCTGTTTGCTTTCTTTTCTCTGATGACAGAAGAAGAAATGAATTGAAACTGGTACATGATTCAAGGCTTTTTTGACTGAACATTTAAAAGCCATTTGGAATGGTTATGGGTTCTTTCCTGAAAGTCTTCTATGAATGGAAAAAATAATCAAAACTTTAGTATAGACATGGATGTCCTTAAATGGAGCAATGATTTAGGTAGCCTCTAGACTTATTTAGCATGTATTGCAAGTATATATTCAGCAAATAATGGATAAACCAGCAAGTTCTAGAAGCTATTTCTTTTAGAACTTGTCACATATAGAACATAAATTATAAATGAAGTCCTGGATTTAGATGGATTGAAGACAAACACATGAAAATAACATTCTGTGTAGTAACAATGGAAGTGCTATAGGAAGTAGTATGTAACTAATTCCCAAAGGAATAATTTCAAGGAGGATCACTGAGGGGTATAAGGTTCCTGAAGGTTCATGAAGAAGGTAATTCTTGAGCCAAGTTTTGAGGGGCCCATACTGAAAAGGCAGCCTGGCAGAAAACAATATATGGACAAAGTTATATGAACCTTACAGGCAGTTTTCAAAAACTTCATTGTGCCTTATGAAAATTCATTTTACTTATAGATTTTTTTTCTCCTCAGGTTTGTTCTAATACTTTTATTTTCTTTTTCTTTTTTTAAAGATTTTATTTCTTTATTTGACAGAGAGAGACACAGCGAGAGAGGGAACACAAGTAGGGAGAGGGGGAGAGGGAGAAGCAGGCTTCCCGCATAGCAGGGAGCCTGATGCGGGGCTCGATCCCAGGACCCTGGGATCATGACCTGAGCCAAAGGCAGACGCTTAACGACTGAGCCACCCAGGCACCCCTACTTTTCTATTCTTTTCTTTTAAAGATTTTATTTATTTATATTTTGAGAGAGAGAGAATGAGAGATAGAGAGCATGAGAGGGAAAAGGGTCAGGGGGAGAAGCAGACTCCCTGCTGAGCAGGGAGCCCGATGCGGGACTCGATCCCGGGACTCCAGGATCATGACCCGAGCTGAAGGCAGTCGCTTAACCAACTGAGCCACCCAGGCGCCCTTTTTTTTTTTTTTTAAAGATTTTATTTATTTATATTTTGAGAGAGAGAGAATGAGAGATAGAGAGCGTGAGAGGGAAGAGGGCCTACTTTTATTTTCTTAATTCACATGCCTGACCAGATTAGGAGAAAAATAAGGCAAGTGTATTAGTCACAGGGCTATAGCTTACGGAATAGTGACTTTGACTCTAGAAATAGACTGGCCTATTCCACTGAGTTTTTCATTTAATTCGTTTCTGTTCCTTAAACTTTGAGAGGCCATGGAGTTCTAATCAGGAAGCTTCTTTTTTTCTTTTAGGGTTTGAGATATTGAAGTAAGTCATTAGATTAAAGCAATATTTTTGTGAATCACAGCATAGGAAAATAAAGCATCTTTATTAAAAATGTCTAAAGCACATTCCCATTTTAACTTGTGAATATTAATTAACTATTCTTCTACCTTCTGTAATTGTGGTCTATAGTACTATTATTACATAGGATTGTTATTAGTACCAACTTAATCTTCATAATGGTCTTGAGGTAAGTATGTTATCTCCATTTTACAGATGTAGAAACATGTCTTGAGAAGATAACCTGGCTCAGTGTTAATGTGGCCAACAAGTAGCACAGGTCATTGACAGCATTCTGACAGCAAAACCTGAACATGTGGTCTATAAGGACTTGTGTGCTGCTTGTGAAATTGCCTTGATGTTTCTGTGCTCTGGGAGGGTAATAAATCAGGATATTTGGAACTAGGACTATCCTGGAAAATCCAGGACCTGTGTATAGCCATCACCAAAGTACATTTTTTCCCTCATGTGAGTCAAAACCAGCTTTCACCAGGAAACATTCTCTTACTCATTTCTTTTTGAGTCCATCAATCCAATCTTGGCCTCCTTTTTCCTCCACTCTGATGCATATTCTTAGAACCTAAGGTCATTGAAGGGGGAAAACTTTGTAGCTGTATACCTTCAGAATGGTCAGTGAATCACTTCAGTTTGGGGGAAACATAAACTGAGTGCTATAGTTCAACTCAGTAGCTAGTGATTGAAGCCTAACTTAAACTGGACAAAGGTACAAAAGATTGATGGGTAGACTTGCAGCTCACAGCAGCTGGGCACCTGGATTGCTCAAATACTTGGCCTATAACCTGGAGCACAGCTTGTACCTCTTCTCACTTTCTCAGGTTTCTTCATATAGTATAGGACAAGGCTGCTGGCTGCTTTGGGGTCACATCCTTGACCAAGTTGGGAAGAAGAGAATCTTTTCCAGTAGCCTCAAAAAAAAAAAAAAAAAAAAAAATGGCTGGGTGAGGGTGAGGCCAGTGAAGCTGCATTGTAAGCCTCCTCTATGGCTGAGTAAACACTGGAGAGAGACATATACAATGATTACTAACCGTGTAAAGGGATCTGTGGTAGAGGTATTGTTACATTCGATGCATAAAATGGAAATGTAGTATACTGAATTTCCCTTTAAGCTTATGCCTACTGTCTGATTTACTTTAGATATCATTAGCATCTGTGAAGCAGTGATGATTAGTATGATAAATAATTTACATATTCATTTAGCAGTCATTTTAATGAGTGCCTCTGTGGGGGGAGCACTGTGCACTGAGGTGATGAGATGATTAGGCACATGTCTCCTGCTATTCTAATGGAAGGAGTAGAATATACTGGAGCCATGGTGGCTTTACAGAAGGAGGTATGTATGTGGAGGTATTGGGGAATATTTCATGGAAGACAAGAGCATTGATCTGTGGCAGAGTTGGAGAGACTGAAGGGAGTGGAGAGGTGATTTCCAGCAAAGAGTGCCATGGATGCAGTTATGGTGGTGGAAATGTGCAGGCTCTGTTGAGTGTGTGAAGGGGGAGAACAGATTGATTGGGGGAGTGGAGGGGAAGGCTGAAAAGTAACGTTGAAGGCCAGGCTAGCCAGTATCTGAACTTGGGCTCAGGCTTTCATGTCATCAGATTTGTGGGAGAGTTTCTCTCACTACAGCCTGAGCTACTGGAGAGCAGGGTCTTTCTTGCTCATCTTGTATTCCTGAGGCCTAGCAGAGTGTCTGCATGCACTGGGCACTCAATAAATGTTGACTGAAGATAACATCATATTTCTGTATTTATATTAATTAGAGGGTTCTAGTCCCTAAAGAATCTGAGTATGGATGAAATCTAGAGAAGCAAAGGACCAGTCAAAGGTAATTAGAGCAGTGAGTGACAGGCCTGAGAAATGTTCTGTCACCTGAGGGAAGGAAAGACCTCTGAAGAAACAAATGGGCAAATATTTGATAGAATGAGCTCTGAGTCTCACAGTGCTTGCTAACTGGCCAACTTGCTTAAAACTTTCTATCTGTTCCGCTGACTTGAGCGTCCCTGAGTCACTATCTCTTCTGACTGTATGTAAATTCCTGGGTGCAAAGGCATTTACATTCTTCAAGTATATGGCTTGAGCCGTTGAGATTTATTCAGATACTCAAGAAAACTCCCCTTTGCATTCAGTTAGATATCGTATTTGTTCCCCAAATTTATTAAATGATACCCCAAACAAATACTATTTAGAAACTTTCCAGGGGGAGTAGCCCAAAGATGTATGGTGGCATGCATTTACTTTTTTAGGGAGTAAAGTTTCAAAATGAATAAATAAAATTCATAAGCATGGTGTACCTAAAGAAATAAAAAATTGAGCAGAGCACCCACAAGAAGGAAAAGTGATCTCTGAGGGGCTGGATAGTAAAACAATGAAACAATGAACACTTTTGTGTTTTAACCACTTCAATTGCTTCCTTTTAAAGTTCTATTCAAAGTATAGTCGATCCTCATTATTCAGATTCTGTATTAACAAATTCCCCTCTTTGCCCAAAGTTATTTGTAATCCCCAAACCAATCCTTGTGGTGCTTTTACAGTAATTTGTGGACATGTGTAGAGCAGAGAAAAATTTGAGTCGCTTGAGGTGTAAGTTCTCAGCTGAGGTCGAACAAGGGCCCATTCTGCCGGCTTGTTCCAGCTCTTACACTGTAAATAAGTGTGTCCTTTCTTGGTCTTCTTAATGCCATGTTTTTCACAGTTTTATGCTTTGTGTGATTTCACTGTGTAAAATGGCCCCCAAGCATAGTTCTGAGGTGCTGTCTAGTGTCCCTAAGTGCAGAACAACTGTGATGTGCCTTACAGAGAAAATTCATGTTAGATCAGCCTGGTTCAGGTATGAGTGCTTTTGGCCATGAGTTCAATGTTAAAGAATCAACTATATATATTAAATAAGGTGTTTTTAAGCAGAAACACACATAAAATAAGGTTGTATACTGACAGGAATCAATCCTGTATTTCCCCTAGAAATAGTGGTTCAGTATTTGCTATTCATTGTTTGTGGTGACTTTATTGAATGGTAACTACTACGAATAATGAAAATTGACTATGTTTCTCTTATTGCTGGGATCATCCTGGGCTTATGTAGTTATTTAGTGGGTTTTTTTTTTTTTGGTAACTTTTATTTTGACAGAATTTCAAACTTACAGAAAAGTTGGAAGAATAGTGTAATGAAATTCCTTATGGTGGAACTGTAAATAGGTTAAATAGTGTCCTCTACAAACTCCTGTCCATCTGGAACTCCAGAAGGTAGACTTTTTTGGAGATAGGACCTTTGCAGATGTAACTAGTTAAGATGAAGCTATACTGCATTAGGGTGAGCCCTAAATCCCAATGACTTGTGAGAAGAGGAGAAACACAGAGAGACATGTAGGAGAGAAGGCCACGAGATGACAGAGGCAGAGACGGGAATGATGCAGCCACAATCCAAGGAAGGCAAGGATTGCTGGGAGAAAGAGGCCAGGAAAGATTCTTCCCTGGAGCCTCCAGAGGGGCTAACACCTTCATTTTGGACTTCTTGGCTCCAGAATTGTGAGAATAATGATGTTGTTTTAAGCCACTGAGTTTGTGGTCATTTGTTAAGCAACCCTAGGAAACTAATGTAACCCTTTACTCCATTTCACTGGTTTATTATTTTTTGCCTCTCTCTCTTTCTTTTCTTCTTTCTCCCCCTCCTCTTCCTCTTTCTCTCCCCATGCTTGTGTGTATCAATTTTTTTTCTGTACCTCTACCCCTAAATATTTATTTCCAGAATAAGGATCTTCTCTTACATAAGCATAGTATAATTACAAAAATAGGAAATTAAAAACTGATACAATATTATCTAGTCAACAGTTCATATTCAAATTTTATCAATTGCCTAATAATAACCTTTTTTCCTCTGGTCCAAGATCCAATCCAGGATCATACATTTCATTTCCTTTCCGTGCCTCTTTAATCTTCTGTTAATCTGAAAACAGTTCTTCAGACTTTCTTTGTATTTCTTGACTTTGTCATTGCTGAGGTGTACAGTCCAGTTATTGTGGTCTTGTCTGATATTTTCCCCAGTTTAGATTTAGGTTATTCCTCTCTGGTAGGAATACCACAGAAATCTTGTGTTCTTTTCAGTGCCTCCAATCAAGAGGCACTTGATGCTGGTTACTTGATTAAAGTGGTGTCTGACAGGTTTCCCCACTTTAAAGTTACTGTTTTTCCCTTTGGAATTAATAAGTAATTTGTGGGGAGATGTTTCATGAGCATGTAAATATCCTCTGCATCATTAAACTGTCACCTACTAGTTTCAGCTTTCATTGATGATTTTCTAAATCCACTGTTTATATATATATAGACTCATATGCCTATTCAATAGGTTATAATCCTTTACTGTCATTTATTTATTTGGTGCAGGAATGTTCCACATTTGGCCAGTGAGAGGCCATTCACGCAGGCTCATGTGTCCTTATGACATGTTCTCATTCCTTGAGTGCTTTCTTACTGTCTGGTTCAAGATATTTCAGGCTCATCTTGTACTTTCCTGTCCTATTCCCCCATGTCACCCATTTGTTTACAGAGCTGACCTGGGCTGATTTAATGCATTAAAGAGTATTCTGGAGTTAAAAAAAAATTGGCTCAAAAGAGACCAAATGTTATCTTCCTCTTTATTTACTGTTCTAGTTAACAAAGAGAGCTTCTTCAGAGCTGTCAGGGGAAACTGCCACTAGTGGAGGGTAAATACCCTCTTGAGGATAGACGCTTCCTTTTGTAGTCCTGCCCTGCCGTAGGAATTTCTATATGAAGAGGAATATGCTTAGGGTTCTTACATATTAAAATACCATCTATGTTATGGCTGAATTTGTTTTTTGGATTTGTTCCCTCTGTTCTAGTTATGGAAGTTTTACTGGTGCATTTTAAACTTAATTCATTTCTTTTTTAACCACAATGATGTTGAGGGTTTTTTTTGTATTATTCAGGTGATCAACTTATAGTAGTTGACCTTAATTTGATTTGTGATACAAATCTAAAAGATTTTCCTTAAATAAAATGCAAATTTAAAATCTTACAAAATGAATGCATGTTGTAGACATTTGTTAAAAAAAAAGCAAAACTTATACAAAAACATTTGGAGAAAATAAATCAGTGTTATCACTGTTGCTAGATAAAACTCCTTCACTCACATTTTCTTCCCTTGAATATCTTTTTTTTTTTAAGATTTTTATTTATTTATTGAGAGAGAGAGAGAATGGTAGAGAGCATGAGAGAGAGGAAGGTCAGAGGGAGAAGCAGACTCCCCGCTGAGCAGGGAGCCCGATGCGGGACTCGATCCCGGGACTCCAGGATCATGACCCGAGCCGAAGGCAGTCGCCCAACCAACTGAGCCACCCAGGCGCCCCTCCCTTGAGTATCTTAAATACACTTTTCTGGTTTTATTTCTGGCATAAAGTTGCTGTCAACATCCTATGATAAGGTAATTTTTATTCATTTGTAAGTCATTTATTCCTTTCCCTAGATGTTCAAAGCGTTTGTTTAAAGGTCTGTTTTCTAGGATTTATCTTGGTTTTGATTGCTTCTGGGTTGATATTACCAGGTATGTGGTGTGCTTCAATATGCAGTTTCCTTTTTTTTTTTTTTTTTAAGATTTCAGGAAAGTTTTTCTGGAATTGCAGTTTTTAATATTCTGTCCCATTATCTTGGTTTTCATCTTCTTCAGGGATTGCTATTATCTATGTGTTGGATCACGAGACTTGATTGATCACTCTGTTTCTCTTGAATACTTTTACTTTCTTCATTGGAGGTGGGTGAACTTTAAAATTTCCTTCTTATTACTTTTTTAAGATATTATCTGTGATAGCTACTTGCTCTTGGATTCCTTCCAGTTTAGTCTTTTTTTCCTGAGCTGATTTTTTTTCCATGTTGAGAGAAGATTTTATTTTTTGTTTCAAGTTTTTATTTAAATTCCACTTAGTTAGCATACAGTGTAATATTAGTTTCAAGAGTAGAATTTAGTGATTCATCACTTACATACAATACCCCCAGTGTTCATCACAAGTATTCTTCTTAATCCCCATCACCCATTTAACCCTTTCCTCTACCTACGTCCCCTTTAAAAACCCTCAGTTTTTTCTCTGTATTTAAGAGTCTTTTTTATGGTTTGCATCTCTCTTTCTCTCTTCCCCCCATGTTCATCTGTTTTGTTTCTTAAATTCCACATATGACTGAAATCATATGGTATTTGTCTTTCTCTGACTGGCTTATTTCACTTAGCATAGCATACTCTGGCTCCATCCATGTTTTGTAAATGGCAAGATTTCATCCTTTTTGATGGCTGAGTAACATTCCATTGTATGGATGTGTGTGTATGTGTGTGTGTATGTGTATATATATGTGTGTGTGTATCTATATATATTCATTCCATTGTATGTACATTGTATATCATGTATATAAACCACATCTTTATCCATTCATCTGTGGATGGACATCTGGGCTCTTTCCTTCAGCTGATTTTTTAACTTTATTCTACTGCTTAAGTTTTGTTACTTCATTTCTGACTTTTTGTAATCTAAATATGTTGTCTTATATTGAAATAGTAGGTTACACTTTTTCTGTTCTAGCAACATGTCTTTAGTATGCTTTCTTTGTGTGTTGGAATGTTATTCTGCTCCATTCCGTTTTTTCTAATTATAACTTTGTACTGGATTTAACCTTGATCCCTTTCTATTGCCTATTTTTATGTTACGGTTTCTGTGCATTTTTAGAAGAAGGCAGGATTCAAAATAGCTTTGATAATTTCTTTTGTTTTCTTGTAGTTTGCAAAAATATGGCCACATGTTTATTTGTTATTTAGATATTTTCTGGCTTGGTTCCCTTCCTCCACTCCATCTGGACTTTTTCTTTTCTTTGTCTCTACCATCCCTGTGCTGCTGAGCAGATTGCACTGCCAGCAATTTCTCTGCAGTGTGAGGCCCGGTCCGGGAAGGTAGTCCTGGCTGACCAGTGCTGAGTGTCCTAGACTGCTCCTACTCCTTTGGATCTTCTTGGGTGGAACCCTTGTCTTCATCCTGTTTCAGGTACCATTTCATTCTCAGCTTGCCTGCTCCACTTCCCAGTGAACACCACATGTCTATGTACTCAGATCCTCCTTTGCTCCTTTACTTCTCTCAGGTTTGCTCTCAGATAGAATCATATGCAGGACTTTTGGAGGGTTGAATATTTGTCCTCACCTTTTTGTATTTTGGAATCTGTTCTCTAATTGTACCTATTTATGTGCTTTCTTGTTACTTTTTTTTTTACATGGGGATTCAGAGACATTCAAAACCTATGCCTGGGTTTCCACAGTGTTGTCAACTTAATGTATATTTAATGAAGTTTATTTGATTTTTGTGTTTCATTTTTTTTCTTTAAAAACCATCTCTACAGAGAAAAAGAAATTGGGATATAGAAAACCCATCCTTTCCAGGAGGGAGTCCACTGAAGTTCAGAAGAGCAGGTCTCAGGACAGTGGGGGCAGTTGCTTCCCTCTCTGAAGCATGGCTCAGATGTGGAGAAGGATTTCAGGACACTTCTGAGACTCTGGTAGGGTAATTATAAAAATTATAAAATTGTTTTCCTTGAATGCCAAAGGATACTTAGATTCCTGAGTGTTTAGGCCACTGTAATTATATTTCTTTGGAATTCCCTTCCTTATTTCAGGACACAGTAATTCGTACAGTCGTCTTTTTTTTTTTAAATCAGAGAGTGAGAGAGAGTGAGCACAAGCAGGGGGAGTAGTGGGCAGAGGGAGAAGCAGGCTCTCTGCTGAGCAAGGAGCCCGATGTGGGGATGTGGGACTGGATCCCAGGACCTTAGGATCATGACACAAGCCTAAGGCAGCTGCTTAACTGGGTGAGCCACCCAGGCATCCCGGTACAGTCTTCTTTTTTCAACCTTGCATTCCCTTAGTAATTGTGGCAAGTTAGTAATCACCTCTTTATGCCAGGCCCAACCTTTGTACTTCTTTGTAAATGTAGGATACCTACTGAGAAGTTTCTTAGAAGATGAAAGTTTTGAGCATCCTACTCTTCACATGAAGTATATTTATGATATGCTTGTATACTCAGGATCTTTTGGCAACAAGATATTCTGGTTAATATTTGTATATATGCTAATTTTGAAATACTTATAGATATGTACAAAATGGAATACTGTTATAAACTCTTAATGGTTAGTTCTCTGTTTAGATTTCTGGTAGAATATAAAAATACATTTATGCATGTATGAGGAGTATGTGCTTTGGGAATACTTATTGGTAAATATAAATAAAAGAGGCATATTTTAAGGATGGTATAGTTTAAGGTTTTGAGTATTTTACAAAATATTTTTGGTTTTAGCCCTTGTTCACATAAATTACTACATTATCATTATTATTGTCATCTTCCTGCAGTCATTAACAGCTGAAAAGAAGATTGTTACAGAAAAGCACCTCGAATTATCCCCTCAACCCAAGAAAGGTAATATTTTGTTGATTTCTTGACAGAAATGGTATAAGGCTAATATATCTTTCTTTGATTTATTTACATAGTTTGGGTAGACTATATATTTATGGTTTAAAAACATCAAAACATAAAAAGGTAATTTTTGAGATATCTCTCATCTTTGTCACTATTTACCCCATTTTTTTTTCTTGCCTCCTGTAGATAATTATTAAAATTTTTTATGTGTCCTTCCTGGGTTTACTGTTATCATCAGAGCCCAGTAGGTTAGCTTAGTCTCACAGCTCCAGGATTTTAAAAAATTCTGATTTGGAAAATAACGGTTATGAGCTATGATAAAAGGACTATAGTATTTCAGGCAATGAAATTCTTACTTGGTGAATTAGGGAAGGCTTTCAGATACAGATAGTAGGAAACTTTTAGAGTGTTTGAAGAAATGGAGTTGAATTTATCTCCTGCAATAAGAAGTTCAGGGAGTCAGATGTGTTCTGAGTTCTGCAGCCTTAGTGTGGAGTTCGTTCTTGCAGTCATGAGGTGGAAGCTAAATTGTCTGGGCCTACTTCTCAGGAAGACTGTAGGTTCTGAGGATTTTCTCCAGGTATACTTTTCTTCTGGGAAGGAATTCCATTGAAGGACCTCTACCTTTGGCCAGAACCTGTTATATAGGGTCGCCTCTACTAAAGGGACTTAAGTGAAGTTAAAGATTTTTAAATATCTATGTTTTTGTTAGTAAGGAAGAAAACGGGGTTTCAGGGAGGCTGCTGGCTCTGCTGCTACACTCAGTGGGTAGGCAGGGAAAGTCAGTGCTTGAGACCTTACGGATCTCCTTTGCCCCTAGGGGTCCTGACTGTGTGATCTTGGGAAAGAAGCTAAACACACTAAGCCTTAGTTTCTCCATCTGGGAAATGTGTATAAGAATGTGTGCCTCACTGGGTTATTGTTAACAAAAAGAAAGTAATAAAATGTCTATTTCAAAGGCTTGCACTTAGTAGTTGCTTAATTGATGGCAGCAAATGCTGTCATGTCCGATGGCAAAAAGAGCTATGTGAAAGCTTGCCAAAAATTCTGCGGAGTGGGAAAACTTTCTGTGAATAAGAGCTATATAAGTATTTCTTTTTTTAAAAAATATTTTTATTGTGTTATGTTAATCACCATACATTACATCATTAGTTTTTGATGTAGTGTTCCATGATTCATTGTTTGTGTATCAGACCCAGTGCTCCAGGCAGAATGTGCCCTCTTTAATACCCATCACCAGGCTAACCCATCCCCCCACCCTCCTCCCCTCTAGAACCCTCAGTTTGTTTTTTAGAGTCCATAGTTTCTCATGGTTTGTCTCCCCCTCTGATTTCCCCCCTTCATTTTTCCCCTCCTGCTATTTTCTTCTTTTTATTTATTTTTTAACATATAATGTATTATTTGCTTCAGAGGTACAGGTCTGTGATTCAACAGTCTTGCACAATTCACAGCGCTCACCATAGCACATACCCTCCCCAGTGTCTATTACCCAGCCACCCCATCCCTCGCATCCCCCACCACTCCAGGAACCCTCAGTTTGTTTCCTGAGATTAAGAATTCCTCATATCACTGAGGTCATATGATACATGTCTTTCTCTGATTGACTTATTTCGCTCAGCATAATACCTTCCAGTTCCATCCACGTCATTTCAAATGGCAAGATTTCATTCCTTTTTTTTTTGATAGAAGTATTTTTTTATTAGGTAAATTTAATGACCTTTCTGGCAATAAAAATATTTAAATTTGAATTCAAAACCCTTTTTTAAACACACACAAATTCTAACCTGAATTAAAAATGTACAATAAATTTAAGGCTAACGTTTATGCCTATTATAAAGTAGCTAGTGAAAGATGAAGCACCAGATTCTTAAAAAAATTATTGTGTTTTTACCAAAGTATACTCTGAAATTCTGAACCAAGATTAAGTAGCTTAAATTACTGTTTATTTTTTTTTTTTCATTTTTGGCTCAGCATATCTTTTGAATGCCTCTGCATTAGGGTAGGACCCAGAAACTGCATTCATATTGTAAGCAAAGCAATGTGTCTTTTTCTTCAGCTTCTGTAATTAGTAATAATCATAGACTTCTATGAATTTAAGAGATATTCTGTACATGTTTCTTTACACAGAAGAGGAAAAGTGTATATTTTCTTTGACAACCCCTGTTCCCACTTTTTTCTTTTTGTATTATGTTAATCACCATACATTGCATCTTCTTCTTTTTTTTTAACATATAACGTATTATTTGTTTCAGAGGTACAGATCTGTGAACCAACAGTCTTAAACAATTCACAGCACTCACCATAGCACCTACCCTCCCCAGTGTCTATCACCCAGCCACCCCATCCCTCTCACCCCTCACCACTCCAGCAACCCTCAGTTTGTTTCCTGAGATTAAGAATTCCTCATATCAGTGAGGTTATATGATACATGTCTTTCTTTGATTGACTTATTTTGCTCAGCGTAACACCCTCCAGTTCCATTCACGTCATTGCAAATAGCAAGATTTCATTCCTTTTGATGGTTGCATAATATTCCATTGTGTATATATACCACCTCTTCTTTATCCATTCATCTGTCGATGGATATATTGGCTCTTTCCACAGTTTGGCTATTGTGGATATTGCTGTTATAAACATCGGGTGCACATACCCCTTTGGATCCCTACATTTGTATATTTGTGGTAAATACCCAGTAGTGCAATTGCTGGATCGTGGGGTAGCTCTATTTTCAACTTTCTGAGGAACCTCCATATTGTTTTCCAGAGTGGCTGCACCAGCTTGCATTCCTACCAACAGTGTAGGAGGGTTCCCCTTTCTCCACATCCCCACCAACATCTGTCATTTCCTGACTTGCTAATTTTAGCCATTCTGACTGGTGTGAGGTGATATCTCATTGAGGTTTTGATTTGGATTTCCCTGATGCCGAGCGATGTTGAACCTTTTT